TCATCTGACACACAGACCCAGGCTTTCAGATGGAAATGCTTCTGCACAGTTTCATTGTTGTATACCATCTGAGCAAGGGTGGTCTTGCCAATCCCACCCATACCCACAATGGGAATTACACCAATGTTGTTGTGACTTGATTCATCCCCCCTTACGAGCAACTCAATTATCTTTCTTTGATCATGTTCTCGGCCATAAATGTGAGGTTCATCAAATAAAGATGTAGAGTCTGGTCTTTGCCAAGTCTTAGTAGGTGTGGGGGGTCCAACAATCTTAACCAAATTAAGTTTCAAACATTGTTCAAAACTATTGTGCAATCTGGTATTGATCTCCTCAATCTTGGACTTCATTTTGAAATTAAACATAACATCGCTTGGCTTGAAATTAAGGATGGGATTCCATACCTTGCTGGAACTAGCTTGGGGCGGCTTTGCCTTGAGCTTGTGTCGCAAAGCTTCGGTGGCGAACTCATCCACTAAATCATCCAAATCATATGCCAGATCCTGGAGATCGTCGAGCCACCGTTTCACGGCTCGATCAGTCAATTGCTTCTCCTCCGCATCAATCAAAAGATCTTCAATTTGCGATAGCATATTGGTCCAATTGGTCAGCTGGGTGTCAATACCTTCAAAGGTGGGTAATTTCGAGGAGGCAAAAGAGGTCAACTTCCCAAACAACAAATTGACGAAGCCAGAGACAAAGATCCCTTCTATAGGCATTGTTTCTGATTACAGAAGGAAAAGAAAAACCAACATATCAGAAGCAAAGCGAAGCAAAGAGGTTGAGTTGCGAAGAAGTCAAAAGTGAGTCTCCATTCATTGGCTCCCTGTCCCTCTGCGAATACAACACATAAATTAAAAATAAAAATAAAATACTCAAAATAAAAGAACCCAAATATTAGTGAGTGCTGAGAATAAAGTCAAAAATGGCGTCTTCTTTTATTGGCTCCCTGTCTCTCTGCGAAAACAACATATAAATAAAAAAAAATAAAAGACCGTAGGTAGAGCGCAATTACTTTCTAATAAAATAATATTAAGGATGATAAAAAAATATCATAAAATGCTTCATGAATTGTTTGTATCTTTTTATTAGTATGTAGTATTTTTTTATATTTATAATCTAACAATGAAAAATTTTTCATGATATTTTTTCATGATACTTAATATTATTCTTTTTAATATATTTTTAAATAAATTCATATCTCCATCATGATTTTTCTCGGTTGGTTGAGAGTGGCCTTAGAAGTTTTCCAATATTTACCCAACAATATGGGGTTTTGGTTAATACATTTTCAATTTTGTTTGCATTTAAAATGAAAAAGTACTACGAGTAAAATAAAAGAGGGACTAAAGTAAAATTTAAAATCAATTATAAGAACTATCAGTGTAATATATCTATTATATTATTGGTCTTTATAATTTGTTTTGAATTTTATTTTGATTTTTCTAATTTTGCACTTAATTTTTTCTATTTCAATTGTTAACAACATTCGATGGAGAGCCATCTTGTAATAAAATTTAAAATGTTCGGACCAAAATGTTCAAATTAAAATTACGATAACTAAAATGACACTTTACTTAAATTATAGAGACCAATGATTTAACTTATAATTCAATTAATTTTTTTTCTCTCCTTTGTAAGAGATAATTGGACAAGTATTCTAACATGAATAATGTAGAGTAGTACTCTAAAAATACTAAAAATAATGGAAAAATTAAAATAATAAACGAATGGTTTAGATTATTATAATGAAACTCGTAACAAACTCTACAATACTCTTCAATACAGATCGAGGACTAAATTTTTTATTTTTTTATTATTTTTGTGAAGATTTATCTGACAAAAAAAATATATATATTCTTTTTCACAATAGAATTGACTTGATTTTGTTGTTTTTGTTTTATTTTCTTGTCTTCGGTTGCAAGTTGATAGCTTGCCAACCAGTAGCCTTGGATCTTCCGTGGAATTAATATAGGGTGGGTAAAATTAACTTAAATTGGTAGTTTTTGTATTTTGACTCATATATCATTTTGATTCATACATTTTTAATTGATTTGATTTGAAATTTTATATTAATTTGATTCAATTAATAACGCTAATTAGTGTTTTTGAAGTAAGATCGGTAATCATATGATATAGATTGACTCACTTAGTTAAGAAAATTTATAATTTTATTTTTAAAAGCGTAACTCATGCTAATCATGTGTGCACTTTTCATAATTTAAAAAAAAAATAATAATAATGATTGCAGTCAATTAGGTTAAATTGAGATAATAAAAAATTTAAGATCGAAATTAAATTAATTAAAATTATAAAGATTGAAATGACACCAAAACTATAAAAATTAGTGATTAAAATTTGCAGATGTTTATTTTCTTATTGTAATGAGTAATGAGTAATGAGACTTTAGACTTAATTTGATTTGATTTGGTATAGTTTGGTTTGGTTAGTTTCGAATTAATCTTCGTGAAAAAAAGTGTCAAAATTCACAAATTTTTATCAAATGATTTTGTATTTTCAAAATAAGAAAGTGTAAATGTTTACACATTTTTTATTAGAAGGATCTTTTAATTTCACTATAAAAAAGGATTATTCCCAAAAGTAATTATCAAAAACAGTTTATTAAACAAAATTTTCATATCAACTTCCAATTTTCTTTTTTTTTTGTTGACCAAACGAAATGTAAAATGGTCCAATTATTTAACAGGGTCTTTAATCAGGAACAGATTCAGAATTTAAACTTTAGAGGATAAAAATATATGTAACTTTTCATCAAAAATAAGTATTGTAAATTTTAAATTTTAATTTATGCCAACACAAAAAAATGAATAATATTAGTATTAATTGAATATTATTTATCAACATAATTGTAAACCAAAATATAATCAGACGTATATTTTTTATTTACATTAACTTAACAAAAATCTTAACTATTATTATGTCTACTCTCCCTCTATTAAAGTTAGTTATCTGAAAATATAATTTCTTTTTTTTTGAACTCAAAAATTTGCTAGTGAAGTGTAGAAAAATGATTGAGAAACTGCGAAGAAAGATTATGGGCAAATATAAAATAGACACCATTGTTATAATTTCTAGGAGAGAGACTTGCTTCATGCTTTTTTTTCACTATTTTTTTAAATTTTTTTTATTGGTTATTACTTTGTCACTACTTTCTTTTTTCCGTGTGAGACCCACCATTAAATGTACATAAATGATTGAGAAATTGCAAAAAAAGGTCATGGGCCACATATAAAATAGACACCATTGTTATAATTTTTAGGAAAGAGACTTGCTTAATGTTTTTTTTTTCTTTCAATATATATATATATATATATTGGTAATTGTTTTGTCACTACTCTCCTTATATTAAAGTTAATTATCTAAAAACATCTTGTATTTTTTTCCAAACTTGAGAATTTGCTAGTGAAATGTACATAAATGATTGAGAAATTGCAAAAAAAGGTCATGGGCCACATATAAAATAGACACCATTGTTATAATTTCTAGGAGAGAGACTTGCTTAATGCTTTTTTTTTCACTATTTTTTTTTAATTTTTTTTATTGGTTATTGCTTTGTCACTACTTTCTTTTATCCGTGTGAGACCCACCATTATAATTCACTTCCACCTTATTTTCACACTCCATATTGATGTTATGTTCGTGAATATCAAATAGCATAAGAAAAAAAAAGGGTTAATTACAAAGATAATCTCAAGATTTCACGCATTTTTAAATTTAAATCTCAATGTTTCAATTTCGACAAATTAAATTACAGAGTTCTATCCATATTTCAATGTGCCCCTTCTGTCCATCTTTGTCTATGTAAGGTAACGGATAATTATTTTGGGGTTTAGATTGAAAAATACTAGAGTTTAAAGTGAAAAACGCGTGAAATCTTAGAGTTTTTTGTTTTTTTTTTTGTGGTAATTAAACCAAATATTTATTTATTTATTTATTTTTGTGTATATATATAACTTACATATCTTATTCTATATGTACATATGTGCTTGTATATATGGTGAAATTTTTTATTCAAATTTTGACTGATACTTCCTCCATTCCATTTTATTAGTCCATTATTATATTTTTTGTTTCCCAAAATGTATGTCCACTTTGAAAAGTCAAAATTTTAAAATTAAAAATTTTCAAAATCATTCCTTGTAAATAATTATAAATATATTTAAAAATGAAAGCACTTGGTGGTGATTTTGATTTAAACTCATCAAAGGGGTTGTTGGTTTGGACATTGGTGCTCATGGATTGGTGTTGGTCACTGGTGAAGGCGGGGAACATGGAAGAGGCTTTGGATAGTAGTTTGTTGAGAGAGATTGGTGAAGGAGATGAAGCAAGTGCAAATGTGAATGCAGTGGCGGAGAGGTTTTTAGTAGTTGGGGTTTTGTGCACTCATGCAATGGTTTCTGTGAGGCTTACCATTTTGGACGTGATTAAGATGTTGGAAGAAGATGTTGAGGTTCCTACTGTTTCGGAGAGGCCAACACGTCTTATGAAAAATTAAAAATCCTAGTGCATATGGTCTACATAACAAATATCATGCAGATATGTAAGATTCGGTGACATTTGTTGTTTTCATCTAGTGACAAATATTTTTAAGACATATTTATTAGCTTGAGGAAATCACAAATATCATGCAGATATGTAAGATTCGGTGACATTTGTTGTTTTCATCTAGTGACAAATATTTTTAAGACATATTTGTAACTTGTATGAAATAGTTAGAGTTGGGTAAATTACCCATGACACGCTGCACTCGATCTCATTTTGATCTCTTATTTTTCAATTACAACAGTTAACCCATTCAAGTTATTATCAAGTTCCAATGTCACTCTTCTGTTAATTGGGTGTTGAGGCATCTTTTAGGGTACCTATGCAATTTTACTACATTTCTTCTTCATTTCTAAAATGATTTTCTCTGCCAATCCTTCCATCCCTTCCCCCACCATTTTCTCACTACCCACAGTCACCCTTACCCCTTCGCCCATCCATTACCACCCCATGTCACCAAAGCTGAATGTGGCGAGGTTAGTGGCATCACAGGCTTGTACAAATGATGCACCGTCTATGCTGAAAGCTATGCACATGTTGGGCATCAACCCAACTAAGCCACCTGATGCTTGAGAAGATTGAGGCCCCAGACAGGGAATAAAAAGTTTATGATGAAAAAAAAAAAAAATCGTAACGCAATGAATAACTTTGACCTGACCAAGAATAAACAGGTGGTATACAAACCCATTGAAGTTCACCATCAATTCTCCAAACGATTAATGATGGAATGTCTATATTGTACTTTGACTAAAAGTGTAATGGATTTACTATTGCAATTAGAAAAATGAGAAATTAAAGTGAAATTCGATGTATAATACATGGATGCGAAGTATAATTTATCCTAGAGGGCCTAGACCACGAGTTGGCTTAGTAGGAAAGGTGCTCCTTTACCAGGTGTGAGTGATATCTGGGCTCAAATCTTGTTATTTAATGCAGTTTATCGTCTTCCTATTCTGGTCCTACACATTCAATTAAATAATAATAATAATAATAATAATTTACCCTTAAAAGTTACCCCGAAAAAGAAAACAGAAGAAAATATTTTGCATAAATGGAAATCAAATAGATAGAAGAAAACTTAGGATCTATCTGAAGAAAGAAACTTTACATTTTCCATGGTGCACTTGTATTATTACTAAGAAACCCGTATGTGGAATCATGCTTTAATGCTATATCCTCAAGATAAAGAACTGTTCGTAAAAATTATGCTAAGTCTTGATTGACAGATACTTAGCAACAATTTTGGCCAAACAACCAAACAGAAAATCAAACGAC